GGTGTGCGGGGGACATCGCCGTGTCCCGGCCGGGCAGCACCTCCCGCGGGCAGCACCTCCCGCAGCCCCGGCCCGTCCCGCCTCCCTCCCCGCGCCCAGCGCAGCCGCTCGGCCCCGCGTTCCTCGGGTCTGTGACTCCTGCTTGGGAAGTTTCCCCCTCTGCGCTGCTGCTGATCGGGCTGCGGCTTCTGGAACGGTAGGAACACTCCAGCCGCTGCTGCTGCCCTTTTCAGGATCCAAGGAAAGGCTCTGGAGAAACCCGCGCAGACAGACACGGCCCGGGCTGAGTTACTCGGGCAGCTGATTCCCACAGAAGCCTCCCGGGCGGACAGGGCTGAACCCTCGGCGTCCTTCCCCGAGTGGCAGGCGAGGTACCTGTGAGCTCCCCTCTGCCTCACCCTTGCATTCCTGTTTCCAGGACTTGGGATGCTGTTCAGAGTCACAGAGGAATGGTAGGATTCAGAAATGCTGCGGTAAAACCCTAACAGACTGAGTTACAGATGTGTTACAAATGAATTTATTTTGCATACTATTCTGGCTTATTTTCTGTCTCCACCTTTGAGATAAAGCCCTCTACTTAAAAAACTTTTATTAAACTGCCTAATTAAGGCAATACAAAACAAAGTGTTTAAACTAGGCAGTAGCTGGACCACAGATTTTCTGCTGGGGATGTTTCAGGAGCTGGGCTATAGTGCTTTTATAGGGCTTAACATTTGTTTGTCATACCTTAAAGGCCTCAATGAGTCCACCAACTTTCATTACAGCAGCAGCTAGTGAGATAATCTGTCACAATGGAAATCTTGTCTTGCAATAAGGTCACCCATTTTAGCTTGGAACACAACAATAAGCCTGCTTAATTCAGTAAGCCACACCAGAGTTGGCTTTGTGTGTGAAAAAGTGCAGAGTTCTTCATGTTAGCAAATACAGATTTAAAAATAAAGCAGAGCTTTCACTTGGACTGGGCAGTGACTACTGCATTTTTCAATCTGAAAATAATCCCTGGAAAGGGTTCCTTAAATTAAAAGTGGAACTGGAGGTGGCCAGAAATACCTCAGTAAGTGCCATGGTGATGCTGAATGGCAGAGGTGGTGCATGTTCCATCATCCACCAGGTGCACTGACACTGTAGTTCCCCACACCCAGGAAAACAGGATTTGTTCTGTACCATTTTCTCTACAAAATTCCCCAGGAAACAAGACCCTCCCTTAAAACAAAAGCTGTTGCTAACAACGTGGATCATTCTGCAGAAGCACAGGTGTCTGTGGGCAGTAGAGGTGTGTCCATAAGGGCAGGGGGGTCTGTGCACACTCCCCCCAGGCAGGGGGAGAGGGAGGCCAGCAGGGACAGCAGCAGCTTGGTCCTGCTCCAGTGGGTTGTCCAGTGAGTGATTCCTGCTTCCCCTAAGGCTGCCTCTCATTAGCATGAATCGAGGGGAGGGCATAAAAGACTCCAGTTCATTTTGTGTCTGGAAAAACTTTACTTCAAAATGACAAGCCCAGTGTTCTGGCTCCTCTGCTTTGTCATGAGATCATCTTCCAGCTCAGTGGCCGGTAAGTCTGTGAACGTTCCAGGCGGGTTGGGGCACCTTTGCCTTTGGTAGCAGGGGAGGCTAAAAATGCTCTGCTGCAAAGTCTTGCCCGAGCAGCCCTCTTCAGCAAGCAGTAGCAATAATGATGGAAGGGCTCAAGAAAGAAACATTTCAACATGTTTGTGGGATGGGAATGTCCATTGCAATAGCCGATTTCCAGCACTGGAAAGAGGAGCACCTGCCAAGGGCAGGCAGCTGGCTGCTGCCCCGAGCCCTGCTGGCCAGCAGGCAGCTCCTCAGGACTTGCTTCTGCCTCTGGGGTTTTGTATTTGTATCTGACCTTTCCCTTTTGGTCTCCTTCCCCTCACTTGTGAACTCGAGGTTTCTAATTTATTTCAACACACTCTGTGCTTGCAGCAAGCTGTCCTAAACTGATTATTTTGGGTTTTTTTAGTACCTCATTGGTAGTACAGGAACTAGATATACATCTATTCTGTTGGGAAGGTGATATCCAGGAGCTGATTATGGTGTGGTTGTATTTCTTAGGTTGCAGGAGCTAGACAGGAATATGCTGGTGTAGGGGAATGAATCTCAAGGTCCTAAACAGATTGAGTAAATGAACTATTTCTTGTTACAACCCATGACTGGGAAGGCATGATAAACTGGTAGAAACATATACTCATAAAACCAAGTCCAAAACACCTGTTCAGAGTTCACAACTTCATATTGAACCATCTCCAAAACACTCTTGCCTATTGCTTTCTTTAGCTTGGACTTCTTCCACCCGCTTCTTCATGGACATTCTTTTGACTTTACGTGTGGCCAGCCCAAATATCAGGGAATCTTTCCCATGACAGCAGCTGGTGAGAGCAAAGGGGGAGAAGTGGCAAGGTCAGCAGTTGAGTCAGTTATAGAAGATAAACCAGGACGTTGTTCATCTCTGTATGTGAAATATCTCTTTTCACAGGAGGAGTTAGGATCAGCCTCCTACACGATGCTGACCACAGGCAGTGAACACCCAGACAGCGGCTGTGTGTGGGTGAACTGTTTGAAAACTCTGCTGGATAACTAAAGGCAGGCAGGGAAGGACTAAAGCAAAGGGAAAATGAGCTGCAAGAGGAAACTGCTCTCTTCCCAGGCTAAATGGAAAGTAATTTTGCTTTGTGAGGTCCAAGTGATCAAGGGGAAGGTTTAAACCAAGGCCTAGGTGACTGTCCAGCTTGTGTGAACAATGTCCTTAAGCTTTTTGCACTAGACTCCCAGACAATCCATCTCATTCTCAACCCTTGTCCTCTCTACTTAAGAAAAGCCTGGAAAGAATTGTTACTCTGCAGCCTGGCTACCAGACTATGGTACTACTGTGATACAGCCACAAACATACAGCTATCCTACAACTGCACAACTCTGTAGTGCCAAAGTCAGAGATCGAAAACTCTGGATAAAGATCTTTTCAGTAGCATATGAAGCCCAGAGCTGCTGAAGAGTCCAGATGACATTGTCATTAAGGCATCCCATGGATGGGAAAACCAAATAGTTCTACTGTCATGGTCTTTTAAACAAGCATCCCAAATGGCAATGGGAACCTTGTTTCCTCAGATGTTCCCTGGAGATTCAGGCTTTTGAGAAAAGGGTTTGTTTATAAGGCATATTTTTAATTTGCAACAATAATAAAGTAAAAATGCAAATCTCCTGTGTTTTGCTCACACAGCTGCAGTCTCTGTACTGGGCCTTTCATGTCTGAGTACAGAAGAGAGGATCTCTACTATATTTAATCTGTTGAACTATAATTTATATTATCATATTGCTGAAGGCATCACCTACAGACTAGAGCCTAAAAACTGCCAGGCACTTCCCGCTCAGAAACTTATGGAATAAAAAAATTAAATGCTGATGTGCTCTCCTTTTTTTTTTGTATGTAGAATCCCTGCCCTATGCTGAGAAACCCAGTGGGACTCTCAGCAAAGATGCTTATGGTTCA